AGCAGGACAGGTGACTGGGACCCACGTGGGGCCTGGGTATGGGCACGGGGTGTGGGATGGCTGCTAGAGCTCGCGATGGGCGCGGGTGCGGCATGGAGACATGGGGGCACTGACACTGGATGGGATGCGGACTCAGGTCATGGGATACGATGTGGGATAACGCGCGGGAGCTACGTTCGGACGCATCGTCGGTCTGAAAGTTAACCCTTAACATCTATAATCCTGAGTGTGAAATATATTTTAATAGGAAGATGTATAGTGTAAGGACTCTTAGCCTTTTTTCTTTCTTACGATTGTAATAAAATGATATACAATTCTCCAGTATGTTAGAGAAAAATATTTTTATAACATAAATGTCAATGTTGTTTTTTATAAGTTTAGTTAAATTTAGTAAATTTTGATCTGTTTCAAACATAGAATTACATTCTTTTTATGGCCGGAGGAAATACGAACTCAGCCATTAGAGCAACCACAATGTTGGCAAAACCAGTCCATAGGAAATTAAATATTTACTATCAGATAGCTGGTACATTGTAGAACTAGTCCATAAGCAGTCCATAGGTAAAAGCCACCCATAACACTATGGGCAGCCCAGAAGACAATAAAAACGGTTTGTACACTGTAGATCTGACACACAACAATAAACAAGAAAGAGCCGTTGGCCTTCGGAAGGTAGCTGTTGGGCGTTGGGCGTTGGCCTCCTCCTTCCTGTACATGCCTTCTTTGCTGAAGCCCTCTCTGCCTACAAAACTAAAGCTTCGTGCTGCATTCTTCACACCTGAGCCTGAGATTTTCAACTCTAGAACACAACAATGGAACCCTCGCCCAAAAACTTTTCTAGCCTCCTGAATCAAGGCTCTCCAACCCAATACTCAGAGAGCAGTGGCCAAATCTCACCACCTACACCCCAATCCCAGTTTCCCTTTGGAACATCCAATTTTCTGTAGAACTTCAATCCTTTTGATCCTTCAGGAATCGACCCACCATATGGCCATTCTCCTCCCATATTTCAAGGTGTTCAACAACAAGGGAGTTGGCTACAAGCTCCTCCACCTAGCTTTCAAGGATTTCATCTCCATGAAAGTTTGGGTGCACCTGCAGCCAATAGGCCTCCACCAGTTCTTCAATTTGGCCATTTAGGTGGAGCTACAGCCAACACTTCTTCCCATGGATCCGAGTCTAGTTCTCGATGCTCTGCACAACAAGAAAAGCAATCAGTCAACATTGAAGATTTAAGTGATAGCAGTGAAGAAGAAGAACCAAAGAGGCGTCAACGCATCAATTGGAGTGAAGAAGAAAATGAGCGGCTTTTCAATTCGTGGACACATCACTCCACTGATCCCGTAATCGGCATCGATAGGAAATGTGAGTACTATTGGAAAGCTGTAGCTACTGAGTTCAACGACAACGCGCCAAAAAATAGCCACAAGAGGTCAGTCAAACAATTGAAGACACACTGGGGTGATGTCAAGAGGGATATCACAAAGTTCAGTGGGGCTTATGCTCGAGCTATGAGTGCACGCAGCAGTGGGCAATCTGATGACATGGACCTGAAAACAGCCCATGAGATGTTCAAGGGAGGCAACAAGGGTAGGTCTTTCATATATAAGTACCTGTGGAAAGTGGCCAAGGAGATGCCCAAATGTTGCAGAATCATCCAAGAGGAGAGCACAACAAAAAGGACCAAGCTATCTAACTCAGGAGCGTACACTTCTTCATCCAACCAAGACACAGAGGGGGAAACCATGAGTAGAGAGGTACGTCCTGAGGGGCAGAAGAAAGCGAAGGCAAGGCTGAAAGGGACAGGAAAATCTGCAGCACCATCTCCTTTGAGCAGCCAACCAAGTCAGAATATGGTTATGTATCATGAAGCTATGTCAATGAAAGCAAAAACTGCAAGAGATAAAAAGTATAAGACATATTTAAAATTGTTGGCAATAGATACCTCAAACTTCAATGAAAAAGAAAAAAAAAGGCATGACAACATAATGGACCAGATAGCAAAAGACTTGGTTGAGGAGTAGAAAGGCAGCAAGAGATGCATGTATCCCTAATATTTAGTGTAATTGTTGTTTTCAAGTTAATTAGTTTTTATGTATTAGGTAGCATGGTTGTACCACCAATATTTAGTGTAATTGTTATTTTTCTTAGTGCTGGCAGTGTATTTGTAAGCTTAATATGGCTGTACCCCACTATTAATGAAACCAGCAGATGGCTATTGAGGTATGGACAAAAGCAAAATATAGCTGTTGAGAAAAGACAAACAAAAATATAGCTGTTGAGAAAAGACAAACAAAAATATAGCTGTTTAGGTCATGCCAGAAGCAGCAGATGGCTGTTGAGAAAAAGACAAAAAATATAGCTGTTGCATACAAGTGGACAACAGCTACAAATATGACCACCACACCACTCCCTCGTTCACAACACTGCACTCCCTCATTCACTAGACACCAGTCCACAACCACTGCCTGATTCACACAAGACACCACTTCCTCATTCTCTAGAAAAAATGTCAACTGACTCAGATGATTCTATTGAGTCTGAGCTTGAAGCACAGATTGAGGCTGAGCTTGAGCAGGAGATTGAAGCTGAGATTGAAGCAGAATCAGCTAGGTCCTCTATTCGACGTGGGGGTTATACAAGGAGGTACATCAACAGAAATCATGAAGGTGATCACAGCATACTAGTTGGTAAATATTTTTCAGATACTCCCTTGTACACAGATAATCAGTTTCGTAGAAGATTTCGCATGAGGAAGCATTTATTTATGCGCATAGTTGAAGCTCTAGGTGTTTGGTCTCCATATTTTCGTCTACGCCGAGATGCATTTAGCAAAGTGGGTCTATCACCATTACAGAAATGTACTGCTGCCATTAGAATGTTGGCATATGGTTCACCAGCAGATCTTATGGATGAAACATTTGGGGTTGCCGAGAGTACAGCAATGGAGTGTTTGATTCATTTTGTTCATGGTGTTAGAAGCCTATTCGGTGCACAATATCTACGCAAACCTACTAGTAAAGACATCCAACGCTTACTACAAGTAGCAGACCAGCGTGGTTTCCCTGGGATGTTGGGTAGTCTTGATTGTATGCATTGGGAGTGGCAGAATTGCCCTGTTGCTTGGAAAGGGCAATTCACTCGAGGTGATTATAAGGTACCTACCATAATGCTAGAGGCTGTCGCGTCTTATGACCTATGGATTTGGCATGCATTCTTTGGAGCTTCTGGTTCGAACAATGACATTAATGTGCTTGACCAGTCACCGTTATTCACAGAACAGCTACAAGGCAAAGCCCCTGAGGTTCAGTACACTGTTAATGGGTCACAATACAACATGGGTTACTATCTAGCCGACGGCATCTATCCAGAATGGGCCACATTTGTCAAGACAATCAACCGACCACTAAGTCCTAAGCATAAATTGTTTGCAAGCTATCAAGAAGGAGAAAGAAAAGCTGTGGAACGAGCTTTCGGGGTGTTGCAAAAACGTTGGGCTATCATACGTCACCCAGCAAGACTTTGGGAACATGAAGAACTCGCCAATATTATGTATGCATGTGTTATATTGCACAACATGATAATAGAGGATGAGAGAGGCATCTATGACATACCAGATGATAACACATATGAGCAAACGCAATCTTCTCCAAATTTAACCGGGCTTGCACATGGACCAATCTATGGATTCACAGATATACTAGACAAAGACAATGAAATTCGCAATCGATCAACTCACGTTCGTCTCAAGGAAGATTTGATAGAGCACATTTGGCAAAAATTCAGTACACAGCAACATGAACCCGGCCAAGAGTAGAGTCTCATTCATGTAATTTTAGGATCGTCTGTTTTCTTAAATTTATTTGTACTCGTATCTGAAATAAGGCAATTGTACTTTTATTTCATTGTTCATTCATACTTTGCAAAAAGTAGTACTATGCACGGATCGGAGGTTACGAACTCAACCTCGTTAGGCTAGTTACGCTACAAACTCCGACTCTCATTTTTACAACTATATAAAAGCTAAAACAGCTGCTATTACTATGCACGGAACGGAGGTAGGAAATGATTATACCTGCTGCTGAGATGAGGAACGGGTCGGTGCCCCGTGAGTCCTGCTCCCCTGCCGTCCGCATGCCCCAGCTCGGGAGTCTGTGCACGCGCCGACGTCCCGGCCAGTGCCTAGCGAGATCTACGAGCCGGGTGTGCACGCGGGTGCCGCCGGACGGTGCACGCCAGGTCGCCGTGCCAAGCGTTCGCGCGGGTGCAGGCAGTCGGTGGCCTGTGAGGACGCTAGGTTGCCGCGTCGGCCGTCCACGCGGCTCCCTAGGTCGCCGCCCTGGGCGTCCATGCCCCTGCAAGAAACTCCCGATCTGAGTTGGTTGACGCTCGATCTGAGCATGGAAGTTGGAGATCTGAGGTGGAAGGGGAAGGCCATGGTCGGATTCAGTGCGAGGAAGGAGATCGGTGGCGGAGAAGACGGCGGTGGAGATAGGGGATACGGAGCTGCATCGCCCCGGACTTCTCCGTCGCACGAACAGATGGGGGAAGTTGAGGGTGTGGGATATTTTTCTGGCTGTGGGACCTAGCCTTATGCATAACCCGTCCAGGTACATTGTGACCTCCAACTTAACTATAGACCTCTGCCGTGGGACCCATCTATACGGACCGGTTGGTCCATATACATTGACCTTGCTCTTACATCCAAACCTCTGATGCTTGCGCTGCACAGTCAGGCTCTGCCTCTCGTCAGCAAATCTTGCACAACTGTATGGGAAATTGGGAATGCAGCCATATTCTCACCTTTATTCGAACAAGCATACACTGAGCACTCATCAAAAGGGCATCAAGCAACTCTAGTCCTAGGTCCTGGAAACAAGAACAAATGCCAAAAAAAGAAAAAAAAAACTATCCTCTCATTTACACAGCTCACCGCAAACTTGCTCCAAAACGCATGCATCACAGAAGCTAACGTCACAAGCTTGCTCAGTTCAGCAACATCAGTCAAAGGGCGACTTGGCCTTGTTGGACGAGTAGATGGCAGAGAAGCTGCTACTGCTGTAGCTATGGCTGTTGCTGGGGCCCTGCCGGCACGGTGGCGTGCTGGACGTCGACGACGTGGCCTTGGCAGCTATCGCCGCCGCCGCGTTGGCATGAACATGATGCGGAGGCGGCGACGAGCCTCCCTTGAGGAGGACGTCCACGTTGGCCACGTCCTCGCGCTCGAGCTGGATCTCCTTGAGCATGGCCGCCACGTCCTTCATCGTCGGCCGGTCGTCGGGCGCCGCGCTCACGCACAGCAGCGCCACGCCCATCACCTGCATCATCTCCTCCACCTCCGAGCTCGACCGGCCCCGGAGCGCCGGGTCCAGCACGTCGGTGCGGTCCCTGCACCGCCGCACCCAGTCCACCACGTGCAGCCCGTCCGGGATCGTCGGGTCGATCGGCTGCTTCCCCGTCAGCACCTCCAGCACCACCACACCATAGCTGTACACGTCGCTCTTCTCCGTGATCTTCATCATGTACCCATACTCTGCAGGTTCGTTGTTCGTTTGTTCATCAACAATTTTATGATGAAATTCATTCAGACATCAACAATTTTCATAAGAAATTTTCATGTACGTACCAGGGGCAATGTAGCCATAGGAACCGGCGACGGTGTTCGACGACCGGCCAAAGTCGCCGTCCTCGACGAGCTTGGCGAGGCCGAAGTCGGCGATGTAGGCCTCGAAATCGAGGCCGATGAGGATGTTGTTGGCCTTGATGTCGCGGTGCACGATCGGTGGCACGCAGTCGTGGTGCAGGTACGCTATCCCCTGCGCGGCGCCGAGCACGATGCGGTAGCGCACGTCCCACTCCAGCTGCGCGCCGGCGCCGCGCCGCTCGTGGAGCACCGCGCCGAGGCTGCCGTTGGCCATGTAGTCGTACATGAGCAGCCGGGTGCTCTTGTTCCAGCAGCACCCCAGGAACCTCACGATGTTCTTGTGCCGGATGGAGCCCAGCGTGCGCACCTCCGCTGAGAACGAGTCCCGGACGCGGCCGCTCGTGCCGTCGTCCGCCTTGCACGTCGCTGTTGCGGTCGCCGCGGCGTGGGTGCTGGGCCACAGCTTCTTCACGGCGATCACCTCGCCGGTGTCGATGCTCACGCGGTACACCACGCCGGAGCAGCCCTTGCCGATGATGTTGGCGTCCACCAGGCTCCTTACCACCTGGTCCACGGAGAAGCTCAGCTTCTGGAACGGTGTGAACTGCCACGGCCACGACAGCTCGCTGCCGCTCTCCGAGTCGCTGCCGCCACCGCCGGAGCCACTCTTCCCTCCAAACCCCATCCGCCGCGCTCGCAGTATACCGATCATGCCGAGCACCATCGCCACCGTCGCAGTCACCAGCAGCACGATGGCCAGCTTGAGGCGGTGCACGCGCTGGGCGTCTTCGGCCGTGTTCGTCACTGGGTGACCGTTGGCGTCGATGCTCACGAAGCATACGTCCCCGCCTTTGGTGCAGAGCCCGGCGTTGCCGGCGAGGCAGGACGTCGAGAGCTGCCGGAAGAGCTTCGTGTCCGGGAGGTACCCGGAGAAGTTGTTGTTCGACACGTTGAGCGTGACAAGGTTGTCGAGCCCGGCGAGCGGCGCGAGGCTGCCGTCGAGCGTGTTGTACGAGAGGTCGAGCACCGAGAGCTTGCTCAGCGCCGAGATCTTCGCTGGGATCGGCCCGGTGAGGCCGTTCCGGCTCAAGTTCAGCGCGATGTCGAGCCCGTCGATGCCGCAGAGCTCGTCGGGGATGTTTCCGGTGAGCTCGTTGTCACTCAGGTCCAGGAGCTCGAGGTTACGGCACTGCCCGAGCGCCGGCGGTATCGGCCCCGACAGCGAGTTGCCGCTGAGCACGAGCCTGCTCAGCGTCTCCAGCCTGCCGAGCGCGTCGGAAACGGCGCCGTTAAGCCTGTTGTGCGAGACGTCGAGCTCCTGCAGGCCGTGCACCGCGGCGAGCGACTCCGGCAGTGGCCCGGTGAGCGAGTTGTTGCTCAGATCAAGCATCTGGAGCTGCGAGCAGTTGCCCAGCTCGGCCGGCACCGGCCCGGCTAGCCGGTTGCTCCCGAGGTCGAGGAAGTTGATGCTCTTCATGCCGGCCACGGACGCCGGGATGGACCCGGCAATGCGGTTGCCGCCGAGGCGCAGGCGCACGAGGCTGGCGGCCTTGCCGATCTCCTGCGGCAGCGGGCCGGAGAGGTCGTTGGACAGGAGCAGCAGCTTGGTGAGGTTGCGGAGCAGGAAGAGGCCCGGCGGTATGATGCCGGTGAGGTGGTTGTGCGAGAGGTCGAGCGCCTGGAGGTTGGACAGGGACGCGAGCGTGGGCGGGATGGCGCCCTCCAGCTGGTTCTGCCACGCGAAGAGCACCTGCAGCGCCGTCAGGCGGCCGAGCTCGGGCGGGATGAGGCCGGAGATCTCGTTGGTGTCGACCTGCAGCTGCACCAGCGACGTGGCGTTGGCGAGATCCGGCGGGATGGTGCCGGTGATGTTGTTGTCGCTGAGCATGAGGTCCTGCAGCGCCGTGAGCCGCCCCAGCGACGGCGGGATGGTGCCGGAGATGGAGTTGATGGAGAGGTCGAGCGAGACGAGCGAGGTGAGGTTGCCGAAGGAGTCCGGGATGGGGCCCGTGAGCGCGTTCTGCCACAGCAGCAGCTTCTGCAGCTGCGGCAGCGCGCCGAGCGACGGCGGCAGCGGGCCGGACAGCGAGTTCTCGTAGAGGTAGATGTTGGTGAGGTTGGAGCAGTTTCCCAGATCCGGCGGGATGGCGCCGGAGAGCGCCGTGGTGTAGATGGACAGCGTCTGGAGGCTCTGGAGCTGGCCCAGCGACGCCGGGAGCGGGCCGGAGATCTTGGTGTCGGCGAGTCCCAGCACGACGAGGCTGGACAGCCTGGAAAAGGAGTCCGGTATCAACCCCGCCAGGTCGTGGTTCCCCCCCGCGCGCAGCGACTCTAGCAGGCGCAGGTCACCGAGAGACGGCGGGAGTTCCCCGGAGAGGCGGTTATCGAAGAGAAGCAGGTTCCGAAGCGTCGGCGCGAGGGTGGCCAGCTCCGGCGGGATAGGCCCGGAGAGCTGGTTGGAGTTGAGCGCAAGGGTCTCGAGCGCCGTGGCGTTCCCGAGCGACGGCGGGATGGGGCCCGTGAGCGCGTTGCCGCTGAGATCGAGCACGGAGAGGCGGCGGCACCGCCACATGTCGTCGGGGACGCCGCCGGTGAGGTTGGCATCGGAGACGACGAAGGACACGAGGCCCGGCAGCGCGGCGCAGAGCCCCGCCGCCGGGAGCGTGGCGCCCGCGAGGTGCACGGACTGGAACGACACGGACGTGACGGTCCCGGAACCGCCGGCGCAGGAGACGTGCGACCAGTTGCACGGGGACGAGGCGGCCGGCGACCAGTCCGGCGGCCGCGCGGCCGTGGTGTTGAGCCAGGCCGTCAGGAAGGCGACCTCTGACGAAGGCGAACCTGCTGCAGAGGACGACGCGGCGAAGAGGAGGTGGAGTAAGAGAAGAGGAAGGGGGAGGTGGCGGCGGCGCATGGGGCTTGGCGATGGCAAGGGCAAGGGCAGCCGCATGAAAAAGTGCGTGGTGTTTGGGGGCTCGGCTCGGGCGGTGCACAATGGCACCAAGCACCAAGCAAGGCTGCTTGCTTGCTTGCTGCCCTGGGAGTGCCGGCTGGGCGATGATCTCAATGGAGACGGAGAAGAGAATGGATTCAACGCAGAGCGAGTGCGGGGGGATCGGAGCGGAGACGAGGAGACGAGGAGGCTCAGCTCGCACACTGTCACAGTCTCTCTCTCTCTCTTCCTCAAAACCCTCAAAGGTGTTTGCTTGTGTCCTGCTCCTTGCTTGGTCTGGTTTGGTTGTTGCAGGCAGGTGCAGCAGGAGGAGGTGGACGATGAATGGGTGCTTGCATCAACGCAGCATTGGGCTCCTCGAAACCCTCGCTACAGTACTTGTTCTTTCTCATTTCTCTCGGTGCTTGGTAGTGGAGAGAGTGTGTGCGCGCGCATCGGAGAGCGGGAAAGAAATTAGTGTGGGCACTGACAGATTAATTAAGGGGAGGGAGGGATTAGTTTAGATTGGTGCTGAGTAATTTCTGTAGTACATGCAAATTGCAACGCAATGCTACCACGAGTTCACGACAAGTGTGCTCGCCAAGCATCGTGGCCCTACGTGGTGGATGTGTGAGGGCCAAAACCAAAAGTGGTAGTACAAGTAGTTGACTAATTTTCTATGTATGCAATGCAATATATATGCATGCTCGTGGAGGGAAAATAGTAGAAGCCTCAGGTCCTCCTTTCAAATCCGGCAAATCTCATCAATTACTACAACAACTTTACAATTATTTCACTAGCTTAAACCCGATGCTATCTTGGTTTGAAAATCAAAAGAAATGGGTACAAATTAACTGCCGGTCTAGAATGGGGCGGACTTGTTGATAATGAACTATCTGAAGTCGCGCAATCAGCATTTTTGATAATTTTGCTAATTCCGAATGATGACCTAGCAGTTGAAACCACTTACAGTACTAGATATAAAAAAGAACTCATAAATACATTTCCCATTCTGAATGTAACTGTAGATTGTTTGATCCTACCGCGTGCACCCTTACAATGAAATTAAAAAACAGAGTACGGCCCTGCAAGCCTGTCCCTCCCTAACCCAGTAATAATCAGCCAGTAGTGTAATGTAACGTAATGGTGCGGCCTTGTTGGATGTATTAAATATAGATTAAAAAATAATTAATTACACAGATTGGGAATACTTTACGAGATAAATCTTTTAAGCATAATTAGTTTATTGTTTGACAATAAAGTGCTACAGTTATACGCGGCTAATGACGGATTAATTAGGCTTAATAAATTTGTCTCACGGTTTACTGACGGATTCTGTAATTTGTTTATTTATTAGTATCCGAACACCTCATGCGATACCCATATAACACTCGATTTGACATCCCAAACTTTACACGTTGAAATTAAACAAAGCCTTAGTATATAGATGTCAAGATGCCGCCGACATGGTGAAAGGTCCTAATGGCTAGAGGGGGGTGAATAGCCTACTAAAAAATTCTACAACAACAATTAGCAAACCGGTTAGACAATTATGAGGCGAAGCAAGTGTTGCGCTAGCCTACTAAAATTGCAAGCCACCTACCATAATTCTAGTTTATATAGTTTCTATCCACACAATGGCTATGTCACTACACTAAATTAGTGTGCTCTCAAAGACTAACTAAAGAGCCACACTAACCAGACTAACAAGCTCTCACGACTAGCTATACTAAAGAGCTTGACAACTAGTTTGCGGTAATGTAAAGAGAGTGAGCAGATAGTTATACCGACGAGTCGAGAAATGAATCAATCAATCACAAGAATGAATACCAATGAAGACCAATCACCTTGAAATCAAATGATGACACAACGATTTTTTACCGAGGTTCACTTGCTTGCCGGCAAGTTAGTCCTCGTTGTGGCGATTCAGTCACTTCGAGGTTCACGCGCTAATTGGCATCACACGCCAAACTCTCAATAGGATGCCGCACAACCAACATAAGATGAGGATCACACAAGCCACGAGCAATTTATTAGAGTACATTTTGGCTCTCTGCCGAGGAAAGGTCAAGAACCCCTCACAATCACCACGATCGGAGCCGGAGACAATCACCAACCTTCGCTCGACGATCCTCACTGCTTCAAGCCGTCTAGGTGGCAGCAACCACCAAGAGTAACAAGAGAATCTCGCAGTGAAACACGAACACCAAGTGTCTCTAGATGCAAACACTCAAATAATGCACTTGAATTCACTCATAATCTCACAAAGATGATGAATCAATAATGGAGATGAGTGGAAGGGCTTTGGCTAAGCTCACAAGGTTGCTATGTCAATACAAATGGCCAAGAGAGTGAGCTTGAGCCGTCCATGGGGCTTAAATAGAGAGCCCCCACGAATAGAGCCGTTGGCTCCTCCGTCCACTGAAAGTCGAGGAGACCAGACGCACCGGTCAGAACGACCGGATGCACCCTGCCAGCGTCCGGTCAACGGATGGCCGCCACGTCATCCCTCGCTTCAAATGCTGAGCGCCCGATCTCAATGGTTAAGTCACGACCGGACGCAACACAGTACTAAGATCGGACGCACCTTTGCCGAGTCCGGTCGTTTATAGAGAGGTTCCATTCACGACCGGACGTGTTAGTTAGATCACAACCGGACATAGGACCCCAGCGTCTGGTCACTTCTAGTAAACATCTAGTCGCCCGACCGTAGTCGCCCAGCGTCCGATCACTCTCCCTCTTCTCTGTGTGCTGCCACGTCAGCATGACCGGACGTACCCATCACGCGTCCGGTCGAAGACCGACGCTAACGTCTTCACTGCTTCCACTGACCGGCGTCCGGTCCACTTTGTGAAACCCTGTCTTTTCTGTATAGGACGCCGGTGAAGTTTCGAACACTTACTCCCAGGTGCTAAACACAATGTGTATCACCTTTGTGCATGTGTGTTAGCATATTTTCACAAATATTTTCAAGGGTGTTAGCACTCCACTAGATCCTAAATGCATATATAATGAGTTAGAGCATCTAGTGGCACTTTGATAACCGTATTTCGATACGAGTTTCACTCCTCTTAATAGTATGGCTATCGAATATAAATGTGATCACACTCGCTAAGTATCTTGATCATCGAAACGAAATGGCTCCTACCACTTATATATTTGTCTTGAGCCTTTTGTTTTTTTCTTTCTTCTTTTCAAGTCCAAGCACTTGATCATTCCCATGATATCACCATCATCATATCATGATCTTTATTTGTTTCACCACTCGAAATGTTCTATCTATCTCATGATCACTTTAATAAACTAAGTTAACACTTAGAGTTTTATCAATTCACCAAAATTAAACTAGAGCTTTTACTTGGGTTATTCTTGGATCACGCGTACGTCGCGCGCGCGCGCAGAACTAGCTGTTGCCTATGCTATGATGCTATGCATATGCCGCTGCCACGAGCTACAAGCAGACAACTACAGCCTACCCTAAACAAGATTAAGGCTTTTTTTAGCATATAGACTCCTCAAATGAATTCGGCCATTTGCTACGGTATAATGCACACAAAAGTTAGGCCCCTTTTCCAAAAAATTTTGTGTAGTACTTATCACATCGAATCTTGCGGCACATGCATAGAGTACTAAATGTAAACGAAAAAAACTAATTGCACAGTTGGATGAGAAATCGTGAGACGAAACTTTCGAACCTAATTAGTCCATAATTAGTCACTAATTACCAAATACAAACAAACGGGCTACAGTACCCAAAACCAAAAATTTTTGGCATCTAAACGTGGCCTTACAGATGAAGAAAAAAAATAGTGATTTCACCTGCCCTTAATTAATTTCGAGATGATAGGAAAAAAAAAGTTCCTCGCTATAGTGTACTAAGGAGTTAGAACCGGAGCCATGGAAGCTCTACTAAAGGGAACCTGCCTTACAGTATTTACTTACCCTGTGCAATAACAAGCGATGCACAAAGCTATGCAATGGGCGTTTTTTTTTACGATCTAATGGTTAAAGTAAGTTGTTATCTATAATGCCTATGTGACATGTTCACGTCGACTAAAGAATGTTCATAAGGCCAGTCTTATTGAGGAGTTTTATGACGTTGTTTATAAAACTATCACGTCATGTAGAATAAAATAAGATATGAATCAAACATTCATTCTTAGTGGAAAGTTTTATTATATAGTTTTATAAATATTTAATTTCATGACTCATAGAGAGTTGGTAATTATGTCAAGAGAGTTCTCAATTTTTCTCTCTTCTTAAAAACATTGTCATATCATTAAAAAAAACCTTATATGGCAACCTATTAAATACAAAGAAAACTCATATAAAACTTTCACCGAGACTGCCCTAAGAGATCACGCATGGGCTATCGGCCGTAGCCAGCGCTGCAGAGTGGTTGGTGGGACAAAGTTGCTGCTTTGGTCACACAATGCTGCCACATGGAGACGAATATACACCTCACCTCATGTCACAAGAAGCCACTGGGTTCTAAGTTCAGCTCAACGGTGAAAGACCGGATTGGGTTTTGTAAATTGAATGACAATATTTATGGGCTCATATTTTCATATGAGATGAAAGATTGAAGTTTAGTCCACAAGCAAGGTTAAGCTACATGGAGGTCATGAAGAGGAGGAGATGGCATGATCACATGATGCAAAAGCTCAACAAGTGGAGGTGAATAGTTGAAAGCAAGCATTGGATGCAAGTATGGAAGACAAGTGCAAGGCAAAAGTATATATATAGCGCTTTGTCTTTTCACGGGCCATGTGTGATTAGCGAAGTGAATTGGCTGGGTTGATAGGATAGATAGTTGTACTACAACGAGAGGCAAATCAGTTGCTAATGCAATTATCTAGTGCCACTTGGTGAGATCTTACATTGTATACGTATTAGAATTGAGTGACGTGGTGAGATCAAGTGAAAACCTTTGAAAAATGATTGAAAATGCTAACTCAATGCTAAAGGTGTTGGTCATCTGG